ACCAGTGTGGAGTGGAGTGAATGTTGCTGGTGTCTCCTTCAAGAATCTGAATCCTGATTTAGGCACTGATGCAGATAAGGAACAGTGGAAAACGGTTCATAAACAAGTTGTTGACAGGTAATAGATCTCCTAATTTGACAACATGGAAGGTCCTGTGACTTGAAGTTAGGGCCTGGCCATGGTCCCTGGGCCTTTCTGTGCTCAAGGGTAGCGCTCTGCCACTTAAGCCACAGCACCACTCTCGCTTTTTCAGAGTATTTTGTTTTGTTTTGTTTTGTTTTTTGATTTTGGAGGTAAGAGTTAAACGAACTTCCCTGCCCAGGCTGACTTTGAACTGTGATCCTCAGATTTCAGCCTCCTGAGTAGCTAGGATTACAGGTGTAAACTACCAATGCCTGTCCCTGAGCTCTTTTGCTCAAGGATAGTGCTCTACCACTGTGAGCCACAGCTCCATTTCCAGTTTTCTGGTGGTTAATTGGAGATGAGTCTCACCAGCTTTCTTGCTGATGCTGGCTTTGAACCTTGATTGTCAGATCTCAGCTAGGATTATAGGCATGAGCTACTGTTGAACAACATAGGTGACTTGTTCACTTGGGTATAAAACCTTAGAAATCAAGCTTATTCTATTATGGTACTGACAGTTTTGTAATGGATACCAGGTACATACCACTGTTTCAACTGTCAGTTGAAAAGGGGCCTAATGAACTTTTCTAACTTGACTGACCTTGAACTGACCTTCAGCTCTAGCTATCCAAATAGCTAGGATTACAGGTGTGAGCCACTGGTGCCTGGCTTTTTGGTTTTGAGAAATGGTCTTGCTAACTTTGTCCAAATTGGCCTCCAGCTTACAGTCCTGCCTCTACCTTCTGAGTAGCTGGGATTACAGGAATACAACACCGGACCTACCTCCTGTATTAAATTCCTTATGGATATAAACAGCTTTAGATTAAATAGAGTTCACTATTGTTTATTCAGATAGTAGTTATTAGCAAGGTCTAAATTCACAATGGTACTAAGATGTAAAGAAACAATTGAAAGAGGTTTCATCTAGGTGACATTTACTTATAAAACTATGAGGCCTATGTGGAACTCTGTGGGTGTATAAAATTAGTTCATGATATATTTTCGTAATTGGTCTCACTGTAGTCGAGGCTGGCTTCAAACTTGTAATACCCCTGCCTTATCCCCCTGCTAATACTCCTTTAATATACAACTCATCGAAGGAACAGTAGCTTTGGTGTTAGTAGCTATAATTAATTTGGCAGTTCTATAATCCTTATATGACCATGTAAGAGCTTGTTTTTTACCCTTTTAACTTCCCTATTACTAAGAGTACTGTTGGGATATATCCTTCATGTATAATGCCACATTGTAGCATTATTTAGGTCAAATGTACTCAGTGAAAACTATGAGTTTCTGTATTCTTCCTCTTTCCTATCATTCCCCACTTACAGTGCCTATGAGGTGATCAAACTCAAAGGCTATACATCCTGGGCCATTGGACTGTCTGTGGCAGATTTAGCAGAAAGCATTATGAAGAATCTTCGGAGAGTGCATCCAATTTCCACCATGATCAAGGTATGTCTGTGCAATGATGCATTGTATTTCAGTCCTTTATTTCATTGTTATTTTCCTGAAGATTCTTGTGTGTATGTGTATTTATGTGTCTTGGTATTGGGGCTTGAAATCAGCCTCGGGGCTGTCCCTTAGTATTTTGCTGAAGGCTGACATTCTACTGAGTCATTTCTGGTGACTAAGACTTCTGATGTCAAATTAATGGAAGTCTTAAATCAGTGATTAAAATGAAATTAATATACATAACATTTCCATTTTTGGAACAAAATGAGTTATTCTGTAGGATAATCTCCACTAGGACTGTTTAACACATCATCACTTGATAACTTGACTAAAAACCTGAGAATATATAGACAGAATCTAAAGTACTTTTCTTTTTGCCTTTCAGGGTCTCTATGGAATAAAGGATGATGTCTTCCTTAGCGTTCCTTGCATCCTGGGACAGAATGGAATCTCAGATGTGGTGAAGGTCACTCTGACTTCTGAGGAAGAGGCCCGCTTGAAGAAGAGTGCAGATACACTTTGGGGAATCCAAAAGGAGCTGCAATTTTAAAGTCTTCTATATGTACCACTTCACTGTCTAGGCTATAAGAGTCAGAGGTTATGCATGTTGTCCCTTATAGCTATAAGGGACTAAAGCAGTAGTATTATAAAATGACCTGGGAAAAGCGTCCATTTCCTGAAGTTAGAAATAGGACTGGTTCAGAAAAACCTGCAGCTGTATTCTGATGGTGGATGGTACCTCTGTAGCTGTAAACTGGTTACTGTAAAACAATCTCACCCTCTCTTGAGACACCACTGCCAGTGAATGGTGCACAGTCCCTAACTGCCCTTTGAACCAGATGTGTTACTGTGTGCTCTGTAACTTCACCAAAATGCCTAGTTCCAACTTCTTTTTCCAATCACACTTCCTGGGATCTGTTGTATAAATCCATTTTTGCATGTCACGTGCATTACTGTTCTAAGATATTTTGTGTACTATATATAAGTAGTGTACATTGGCATGTAATGTAAAAAGCTATATATGAACAATGCAACACCTATCCAAATGTCAGACTAAAACACCAAATAAACCTTGAACAGTGACTACTTTGTTGATTTTAATATCTTAGAAGAGTGCCATTTTATTAACTAATGAGCAGTCTTTAATATATTTATTTTTGTGCCAGTCCTGGGTCTTAAACCTGCATGCTGTCCATGAGCTTTTATGCTCAGTTATTGCACTTTGCCATTTGAGCAACACCTCCACTTCCACTTCTTTTGTAGTTAATCTCCCTAATTAAGATCAAAGTCTCAAGGACTGACTTTCCTTTCCAGGCTGGCAATCCTTAGATCTCAGCTTTGTGAATAGGGAAGTTTACAGGTGTTAGCCACCAGTACCCAATGGTTTTTGTAAACTTTGAGGTATCTTCAGTGTTTTTGGTGGTGGTGGTGGTGGTGGGCATGGGCCTTGAACTCGGCCTGGGTGCTGTCCCTGTGCTCTTCAACTCAAAGCAAGCACTCTACCACTTGAGCCACCACACCAATTCTGGTTTTCTGGTGGTTAATTGGAGATAAGACTGGGTGAGGGGGAGGGAGGGGAGTCTCACAGACTTTCCTGCTTGGGCTGGCTCCTGAGTACCTAGGATTACAGGTGTGAGCCACCGACACTCAGCTTCTTAAGTGTTTTTGAAAGAACACCTTAATTTCATATTATTTGATGCAATAAGCCAATGCTAGTATCACTGAAGAGTAATACTTAAGCAAAATAGGTTTATTAGATTTTTTAAAAATATTCTGGTAGTTGATGTAATCCTGTAAAGTTTAATGCTTTTTGCTTCAATATTCTTTTTTTTTTTTTGGGGTCCAGTCGTGGGCCCTGAACTCTGGGCCTGGGCGCTGTCTCTCAGCTCTTCAGCTCAAGGCTAGCGTTCTACCACTTGAGCCACAGCGCCACTTCCGGCTTTTTTCTTTTTGCTTATGTGGTGCTGAGGAATTGAACCCAGGGCCTCAGGCATGC